GCCCCTTCTGCCGTCCCAGTCCTCCCCGGGAGCACCTGCTGTTCAGACCTCGGCTCCCGAATGCCGTCTCAACGGGACAGGGGCCCGGGTGAGCTCCGGCCTCAGCTGTCACCCAGAGCCTGGCTCGGGACGCCCCAGGCGCTCCCTCCCCTCGGCGCTCTGGTGGTGGCCGTCACGACAGGGCTGGCCCGGCTCTCCTCTATGTACAAGTAGCGTACCCAGGACAGGCCACCGAGGGCAGACTGAAGGTGGGCCGGTTTGCATGTAGGATTTTGAACACCCTCCCCATCCCCATGGGCTGCTGAAGACTGGAAGGTTGGCGGGCGTGTCCCCTCTGAGTCACAGAGCTAGAGACAGACTTCAGAGCTGGACTCTTCGAAGAAAATCCATGAGCCCTGTCCGTGTTGTTGTCGTCACTGGATGCCCTCCTCTTCTACATATGTTGAAGGAAACCAGCCGATCTGAAAAAGGTGGCGGGGTCACATGAGAGAGCGTGTGCGCACGGGTCTGCGTGTGTCTGCACACGTATGTGCACGTGTCGGGGTGAGGGGTCAGCAGAGGCTCGTGGAAATGGGGGATCCTTCAAAAGACTGGAGTTTGAAGCCAGGCTTACCTCAAGGGGGGGCCCCGGCAAAGACTGGGAGCCTGGGGGAGCTGCGGCCCCGGGGTAGGAATGACCCTCAAACGCGCCCGCCCCCGGCAGCTCAAGATGACATATTCTCCCTCTACCTGCCAGCCAGAAAAAAACTAAATCCTCCCTGGAGGAAAATAACATCATGCCAAGCCTCTGTTCTATACACAGGCTCGTTATTCAATCAGGACCTGGTGACAGAAGGTAGGAGAAAATGCAGGTCACGGAAACGGATTACTACCGGATTAGTAGTAATCCCCTGGACAATACTATCCAAAAATGAACTTGACACAATTCCTCACAAAAAGGAAGCAGGTCTCGCTGGAGGTACGACTGATCCCTCGGGGGATGACCAGGAGAGGAGAAAACTGTCTCTTAGCATAGAACGTCCCTTGATGGGTGTTCAAGAAACAACGGCCAGAAAATCACTGTTTTTCAACCATGATAGAAAGAATTGACCAGACAAAATTCATCAGTAAGTGATAGAACTAGTAGATGAAAGTTTGATGGGGGACAGGATATTTACCTGATTTCAAAGTGTTACCCTGCAAGGTACTCATGAATAACAGTAACTTCATGGTGGAGAAACTCAACAGATAATCGCTTTAACCAAGTCATCAAAATTAACGTCACAACAACAGGACAAACTGACCTCATATACCTCTGGATGGGACACTACAGTACTGAAAGGGATACAACACCCACATTATGTTCCCACCAAAGATATATGACCTCAACCTCATCATGAAGAAAATATCAAACAAACCTAAATTGAGGGATAGCCTACAAAAATAAGTGGCCTATACTCCTCAAAAAGGTCAAAGTCATAGAAGACTGAGAAAGGCTGAGGAATCGTTCCAGAAGAAAGAGAGTTAAGGGCCATGGCAAGTAAATGCAATTCCTTTGGGTAGACGAGACACGGGATAACCAGTGACATCTGAATATGGACTGTGGGTTAGAGAATCATATTCTATTAAAGGGGAATGTCCTTGATTGTAGGACACTGAAGTACTTAGGGCTTTAGTGGGGGAAAGGATAGGACTTCTATAATTTACTGTCGAATGGTTAAGAGAAAAACAAGCAGAGAGCGAAGGAGAACCTAAGTGATAAATACACAAACGACTCTTAATTGGTAACTCTGGGCACAAGGAGCTACAGCAACTTTTCTTTAAGCCTGAAACTGTATCCAAACAAATTAGAGGGGCGCTTGGGTGGCTCAGTCGGTTAAGTGTCTGACTTCAGCTCAGGTCATGATCTCACGATTCATGAGTTCAAGCCCCACGTCGGGCTCTGCGCTGATAGCTCGGAGCCTGCTTGGGATTCTCTCTTTCTTTCTTTCTCCCTCTCCCTGTGTCCCTCACCCACCTAAAATAAGTAAACTTAAAAAAAATTGTAAACATTTCCTAATAAGAACATTGAAAAAAAGGAAGTAAAACAAAGAGGTGTTCGGATTCCACAAAAACTGGGAATTTATTAGTAGCAGACTCACCCTAGAAAACATACTTAGAAGAAGGAATTTCAGGCAGCAGGAACACGCTTTTGGGTGGAAATACAACAAAGCAGGAAAGCATGGGGAGCCTGGGGCAAGGTAAACAGGTGGGAATGCTAAACGAAACTAACTGCTTAAAACAAAAATAATGTCTAATGGGACTAAAAAAAATGTGTAGAATTAAGATACACGACAACACCTGTACCAAATTCGGGAGGGGATAAGTACAGTCAGAAGTTGTAAGGTCCCTGCATTATCTGGGAAGCAGTAAAAGTACTAATTTAAAATCGTCTCTCAGAAGTCAGAGGTGCACGCTGTAATCCCTGAGTAACCACTCAAGTAATAGGAAAAGAATGTGTAACTCACCAACCGAGGAGGCAGGAAGTGGAATAGAAAAAAAAAAAATTGCTGACAATTCAAAAGTAGGCAAAAAGAAGGAGAAGGAGGAGGAGGAGGAGGCAGAAGAAGAAAAAAGAAGAAGAAAAAGAAGAAGAAATGGATGTGACAAATAGAAAATAAACAGAAAGATGATGGATTTAAATCTTCGCTCAGTAATTACATTAAATGTAAATGGGCTAATGCTCTTATTAAAAGGCAGAGACGGTCAGATCAGACTGGCTTTAAAATATGTGTAACATAACATCTTATCTCTACCTTGAATTTAAGAATACAGAAAAGTCGAAAGTAAAGCATGAGAGAGTGAAGTCGGCCACGCAAAACATTAACTCCTTCCAAACAAGCTGGGCTGCTCAAAGAGCAGACAAAGTAGACTTGGAAGCAAGAACTGCCAGGGACAAAAAGAATCACTTCATAATGGGGCCAAAGCAACAGGAATATCTAGTCACACTCTAAACCGGTAGTTCTGAATCACCTGGGAAACTGCTTTACCCATGATCTGGGTGAGGAGGACCTAAGTAAACAGCCCCAGGAGCCTCCAATGTTGGCGGCCCTAGGGCCACTTTGAAAACCAGTGGTTCAGCCCTCCAGGCCAGCACCTAGGACTCGGTGGCCTCATGCTTCTGAAGGGCTGTCGGGTGGAAAATGGATCTGACCTGAGGCCTCCGAGGGGCAGACAACACGCTAGGTGGAAGCAGACCAGCTCCACCACCTGACAATGGAATGATGAGCCATGGGAGCCAAGGCAGGCGAACCCTGCACAGCCCGGTGTGCCTGCCAAGGGCAGCTGCCCCATGCAAGCTCCAGTACCCTGCTGGGTGAGTGCTGACAAACCCGGTCAAAGCCAGGGGGTCCAGAAGGGGTACAGGAATAAGGGGCCATGGAGTGCTGCAAGGTCATAGGGTAGACAGGGAAGGGCATCCTCAGGCAGAGTGGGTGGGAACACAGTGTGCCCCTTCCCGTCTCCCCAGCATGTAAGGGAGGCCAGTGAGGACACCTGAGCGCCCTGCTGTGGTCCTGCGGCCTCTCTGCCTGCAAAGAGGGCTTGAGTACGTGCAGGTAATGTGGAGCGTGTGTGTAAAACACGTCCCCCTGCAGTGGCCACAACCACAGAACGGGACCGAGCACAGATACGGGGCCAGACAGGCCTGGATCTGGCTCCAACCCGGGCAGCTCGGGTCTATGGCTCAGAGGGGGCGTCACAGTGCTGGGGCAGGTACGCTGAGGTGCCAGCCTGCCCCAACCTGGCCCGGGGCTGAGCCGCTTACCCGTCCATTGGCCTCGCCCTTCCACCAGCCCTGGTCCCCGCCAATGCGGCTATATATCTTCACCAGGTCGCCTTCCCGCAGTGAGAGCTCACGCATATCCCGGGCAGCAAAGTTGTACCTGGCCACGGCCGTGCCGATGACGCGGGGTGTGAACACTGTTGGGGGAGATGGGCAGGGTCACAGAGCCGGTGGGGGAGGGGGCCCAGCTTGGTCCCCCCGGTGCCCGGCCCCGTGCCCAGAGAGGAGGGCTGTCCTGCAGAAAGGCTCTGAAGGGACAGGCTATTCTCCAATTCCACCCAGACCTGCAGGCCATGGCCCACGCGACCCTCCCGCGAAGGCACTCACACCGAGTCACAGCCAACAAATGGGATCGTGGGCTCAGAGCAGGTGCTCAGGTTCTGATCACTACGACTCGCGTGGGCCCCACCCCTGCAAGCCCGGTGCACGAGTGTCACCTGCCCAGTGGTCACTCAGCTGACCCAGCCTGCATGCTGACGGAGCACCTGGGGCCAGACCCCGGGGTGCCAGTGCCTGGCTTCTAGGTCCCCAAACCAAACTGGACACGGGGCTGGGCCAGCTCGGCTGGGGACCCAGGAGTCCTGGTGGGCAGGGGACAATGACCGTGGTGGAGGGGACAGACGCAGCGGCCAGGGAAGGGCTCTGACTCTGGCAGCGGAGGGCCAAGTAGTCGGGCCCAGCTGAGACCCAGTCCCCCTGTCTCCAGGGCCCGCCCGGGGGGGTCCGCCGGTGTGATCCCTCTGTCACCCTGGGGGCGGCCACCCGGCTCTCCGCCGCTACCAGAGGCAAAGCCCTCAGCGAGCGAGGGGGGCTAGGGGTGACCGACAAGCTGGGGAGTGTCGAGTGGCCCAGCGTGAGGAAGAGGTGTCGCTTGGCGGCGGTGAGGAGGTTGGCACCGAGCCTGACCGCGTCCTCTGCCCTGTCCCCGCCGGCCAGGCCGTCCCTTCCCTGTGCCTGTGCCCTCGGCCCTGTCCCGTGCCAGGCTACGGGCAGCTGGGGCGCTGCTCGGCGGGGGGGGAGCCATAGCAGGCAGCGGCCGAGGCTGGCATGGTGAGACCCCCTACCCAGGGCACTGTGAGGGGGTGCCGACCAGGGAAGCGGGAGGAGGGAGCCCCTGGGAGGCAAAGCTGAGGCCCTGAGGACTGAGAAAAGAAAAGTTGTAGGAGGCGCAGGAAGCTGCAAAGAGAGAAGAGCGTGAAGGGGGAAGTAGCCTTTTTGGGCAGGCGCGCTTGAGGTCGCGGGGAGACCCGGAGCCTGCGGGGAGGGAGACTGCCCCTCCCGCCACCTCTGCGTGCCTGTTGCCTGGACAACACGGGACCCCCCCCCCTCCCAGTGGTGGGCAGGCTCAGTGTCTGGAAGCCCACCTGTCCAACACTCACTAAGTCGCCTCAAGGGAGCCCGTCATGGGCGGGACTTCAAACACGCTGGGCCCACCCTGCCTCTAACTCCAGGTGGCCTCAAGCAAGACGCTGCCCTGTCCCCGTGGAGTCCTGCCCGCAAACGAGGTGCCAGATCTGGCTCCCTCCCAGCGAGGACCCCGGGGGGCTGGGGGTCAGGGAGGGATCTGAGCGCAGGTGGGACCTGCCCGTTCTTATGCCGACCCCGGGCAGGAGGCACCCAGGAGCAGCAGTCCGTGGCCTCCCCTACCGTCTGGGGACCAGGAGGACACCCTGGCTCGGGGGGGTGCTTGTGATGGGCTGGGGGGGGGGGGGGCGCCTGGGCCAGTGGCTTGGGTCCCCCAGGAAAGCCTTCCTCGAGGGCAGGTGGGCAGCGAAAGCCAGGGCCGTGGGAAGCGGGCAGAACGGACACCTCCGGGTGAGCACCGGTGTGCCGGGCGGGTGCGGGCGTTACCTGGGGACCGGCTGGAGGCCCTGGAGGCCGCGCGCTCCCGTGACTTGTAGGGGTACTTGAGCGTGGTGTCCAGCTGCTTGAAGCTCTCCTTGAGCGAGTGGCACTGATAGTACTCCACCAGCTCCTACGGGACACACGTGCTCACTGCCACTGTCACCGCCTCCAGGCAGTCCCCCCAGGCGCCCTGGCCTCCCTCTCCCACCTCGGTTTCACTTGGGGGACTTGTGTTCTGGGCCCCCGAGGGCTCCCCACTCCTGCTCTCGGCCCAGCACGCCGCCCAGGGTGGGCGGTCAGAATCCGAGGGGCCCCTGAGCCAGTAGCTTCCCTCCAGCTGTTGCTACAGGAAAACCAGGGGCCGACACGGAGGATGGCGCCGGGATGCCCCGACAGCAGGGAAGGGCTTCCAGAAAGAACAGCACGTGCCGGAGACCGAATGCCCTATGATTACCGGCGTGGGGAGGAGAGGGCTGTGCCAACGGGGAAGTCTACCTTGCGGAAAGTATGCGAACGTCATGGGCAACAGTTCTGTTTCAAACCCGTAGATACGAGCCACACCCCAGACATTGTGACAGGTTGAGGGGCCTCCCCTGAATGCGAACACGGGGTTTTGGGCGGGGCAACTGGGGATACGTTTCTCTACTCTGTGCTTTTCTGTGGCCACAGCGGCCTTGTCTAAGACCTCAGGTCATTTAGGAAAGACACAATAGGCCTAATTTAAAAATCACGTTAAGAACTGTGCCTTGGGGCACCTGGGGGCCGGGCTGCGGGGCTAGGTGCTGGGGGGGGGGGGGGGGGGGGGGGGGGGGGGTGGCTGCAGTGACGCACGGCAGGCCAGGCCAGGCCAGGCCCTCCCCTCACTGTGCACCGTGGTGAACCCACTGGGCCCTCTGGGGGCAGAAGCCTCAACGCAGGGGCTGTGACCTAACTGACCCAAGGTGCCCTCCAAACCCACTTCCCTGGATCTTCCCTAGTGGCAGGAAAGTGCAGCCTACAGAGGCCATGGCGGCAGTGGGGCACCCGGGCCCTCCCAGGACCCTGCAGGCCAGGCCTCCCTCCCGAGGGAGCCACGGGATCACCTACCAAGAGGCTTTCAAACTTCTTCGCTTCTGTAATGTGGATCCAACTGTCTTTCTCGACCACCTTGATGTGCTTCACTTCATCGTTGAACCTGGGCAAACGCGTGGGCCTTGGGGTCACCACTCGGGCCATGTGGCCCCCGGCCCCCAGGGGTCCAGGCTTATTACCTGTCTGCCCTCGCCTTCTCACCCCCAGCCCCCGGCCCTTCTGGCCCACCCCCTCCTGGGCCTCTCCAGGGTCAGCCAGCAGGGTCTCAGGCCCCATCCAGCCCACGGGGGCCTCCTGTCCTGGGATTCTGCTCATCCCCCTCTCTGCACGGGGGACGTCATCCTTCTCCCTGTTTCTCTGTCGCCTGGCGAGGCCTTCACGGCTTGGTTTATAAAGTCAAAGGTCTGACCATGGCCCCCTGAGGCCCCAGGGGAGCAGCCCGCCCAGCTCCGATGCCGCCTAACATTGTCCTCTGCACCCTCCACTCCAGCCGACGGGCATCCCCAGACAGGCCACACGCACACCCGCCAGAGCTGCCCCTCTGCCGGGAAGGCCCACCCTCCCCTCCTGAGCTCGAGTCCTCAGGTCTCAGTTCCAATGTGACCCTGTCAGAGAGCCTCCCTTCCCCCCCAAACACCACTCCAGACGAAGACATCACGGGAAAAGGAAACACCAACGCCTCTACAGATGCAAAAGTCCTCGGCAAACTGAATCTCTCCCCACGCGTACGTCTATCTAACCCGAACAGTTAAAAGGACCTCACACCACAGCCAAATGGGACACTCCAAGAATGCAAGGCCAGTTTCACAACCGGAAATCAGTTAGTGGCATAAACAACCGGCAAATAATCAGGTGCCGGCTGCCCAGCATCCTCTCCCGAGGGGCCTCCGTCCACTGCCCACTGTTTCTCAAGGGTTCAAAGTCGGCTGTGCACGCTCACCGCACCCCAACTCCTTGGGCCGGTCTCAGCCCCAGGGGGAGCCCTGCAGGCCGGCCACACAGAGGTGCCAGGTGAACTCCTATCACTCCTATCTGGCGAGTGATATCTCTGTCACCTCCACCACAGACCTGCCACACGGTCCACACCCCACTTCCTCCCAGGGCCCTGCTGAGGCCGTCACAGCCCCACCACACGGTCACACCTCGCGAGGCTCCCCTTGGCCACCGTGGTACACGGCAACCTCAACTGGGGAGCAGGCCCTGCCTAGCGGGCGGCCTGGGCAGTGTCCGCCCGTTTCACCGGACATCTGTCCCTCCCCACGCCGGTCTTCCTTGTTCTCTGTACTGTAGAGCCAGCATGCTGGTTTCCGGCTCCAAGCATTTGTGGAAAGGCTGGGGCAGATTCCGACCTCCAGCCATCCCAACTCTGGGGGCCCTCAGCGCCCGTCTGCACAGGGGGACCCCAGCCCTGGATGAACACGGGTCCCCATCCACCGTCCTCTCTTGGATTTGGAACAGGGGAGGGGCATTCGCGCACATGCACATGCACACAGGCGTGGTGGCCGACCGCATGTGAGGGCTGTGCCCTCAGGCCGGGCTCTCGGCCCCCACTGGGTCCAGGTGCAGAGGAAGGGGCTTGCTAACGCTGGGGTGTGAGGCTGGGAGGGGCCTGCCCCTGGACACAGGCCACCCTCTGGGGCAGCACACAAAGCAGACTGGACCTTGAGGGTCACCATGGCAGACAGACCCCTCTATTTGCTGGCCTGTGGGCTGTCGGGGGCCTGACCCAAGATGCCCATCTCGTGGGCATCCTAGGCCGAAAGTGGCCGCCCACCGGTCAGATTCCATCTGTTGAGGGGGCGGTGGCAGACGGTGCACGAGGGGGCGGCCGCTGGGCAGGACACCCAGGCCAAAGGCCGAGGCCACAGGTCGCAGCGGTGTGACCTTCCCCTTCCCCCGAAGCCCACTGGTGCTGGGAAGTCCCTGACCTCGTATGGCATCCCTGCCCCAGCCCCGTCCCACTCTGCACCTGAGCCCGCGTGGTCCCCGCAACCCGAACAACGGGGGACTGAGCCCAAGGGGTGGCTTTGGGCGGGACGTTTTCACCCACGTCCCGGGCCAGCCACGTTGTGCAGACCCACAGACACTCTCCCGTCTCTAAAGTGTCCTGCTTTGGGCAATACGGTCCATGGCCACTCCCAAACCCAATGAGCACAGGACCTAGAGGGACGTGGGCTCCGTGGTCCAGAGTGGCCCCGGGGCGGGTGGGGGGGTAGGTCTCCCTGACCCCGGGCCACCGCGTACTTGATGCTTATGGCAAAGCGCTCCGCCTCGGCCGGCCGCTCCCTGATCAGGTAGGTCCCGCTGGCGTGCGATTTCAGCAGGTTGTCTGTCTGCTGTCTCTCCATGTTGCCTGCGAACCTGGCGGGTGGGAGGAAGTGGATGGTTAACACCGGGACAGCCGAGGACGCCCAGGCCTCGGCAACCGCGCTGACCTGCATAAGGAGCCGTCCGGGGACGAGGCTGAGCCCCTGCAGGAGGGGCTGGCGAGGGGGGGGGATCTTCGGACCCCAGACCTCAGCCCGGCCCCAAGGGCTTTGCTGCAGAACCCGGCCTGCGAGAGGCGCCTGACGCAGCACGTGCATTGGAGCGCATTTCTGGGTTTTCGCCGTTGACAACGCGGTAACACATAAAAGCTCACGTGTGGGGTGGACCCACGGCATCTCCGACGTGGAGGGGGAGGCCAAGCCCACATGCAGAGGCCGGGACACCAAGCACGCAAGCGTCACGCCGCCGGGCCCGTGGGGCGAGCCCCGAATGCAAATCCCAAGGCCAGATGCTCCCGGGGTAGGAGTTTGCCCGCCGCTCTGGGGCCACCACAGGGCACAAAGCACAGGGACCTACTACCACCGAGGCCGCCCCGGGGTGCCCAGTGGGCAGAGCGATAAAAGCTGGACCCCGAGTCCGACTGGGGTCTGTGCCCCAATCCTAGAAAACCCGGCTTCGTGCTTTTGTCCGTCCAAACGGCCCCACTGTTCTCTTGGAGTGACAACACGGATCAGTGTGCAACTGTCAATAGCCTTAAATACACCTCTTTCGTAG